GATCAAATTAAAAAAATCTTCTTGACTTTAAACGAATTATTTTTCTTTGTGTTTACAGGGAATCTATGAAGCTTTGTGTAAAAATACTCAAATAATGGGATCAGTTTTGGAAATTCTTCTGAGTCAGGTAATCCACAGTATATCAAATAACAAGTGAAAAGTTATCATCATGAAAACCCAATAAATTCAATGTATAAAATATCTTTTCACAGCTAAAGAAGTACTATGAGCCTACAGAAGATGTGAACCCCCCTGTTAAACTGGATCTCTGCATCACAGCTCAAGGAGATCAGATATATCTAGCTGAACCGCTGGTAAGTTAAAAACTTAGCTTAGATATATCAAAACTTGTGCATGCTTTATTTATTGTTGATATACATCTAGCATTAGAAGGTTTGAAAATTTTAGTTCAAGCATAAACATTGCCAGATCTTAGCATTAATTAACCTCATTCAACATTATGGTTATTAAATGTTGATTTATCAAGAAATTGACAAGCACAGACATATTATTTTCCATTTATTTAAGGAATTATTTACATGACTTGAGAACTACAGTGATGATTCCTTACTCAGTTGACCCAGTTTTTCAGGGTTCTGTGGGTCGCGGGTCTCGGTGGTTCCTGTAGAGGTTGAGCCGTCTGTGGTTCCCTCTATAGTTAAGCCACATTGAGAGCTGTGTTCTTACAGAGAAAAACTGGAGGGTTGATTTATAAATAGTTTTCAATCTGAGTTGTTCCAAGTCTAGAAAATTTGTTATCAGTTCATGTTTGTTTGCCTGTCTTGTAGAAAATTTTCAAACGTAATACTGGTATGGGACATGTTACTTCAAGTCTCTCATGTGATATGCTTTTAATTTATTATGTTTATCTCTCATTGCAGGCTCACTTGATCTGTTGTATCCAGCTCTGCCTGATTAAGGTCAGTGACATTCGTCGTCAGATGAGCGGTGACCATGACGACACGGTAATGGAGGACTCGAACCACACACAACAGGAACTGGAGGACAAGATGGAGTCCCTCGTCACCCGAATGATTAAGTCTGAGATGGAGGACTTTGAACTGGTAAACATTAGTTAAACATTATCAGTATTACAGAAATATCTCGGAACGATCCCTGTTCTGTCTGTCAACATGTAAATCAGTAGATGGGTTAAAGCATTTTGAATCTTAAACTCAAAAGAATTATACATCTTAATTCAGGAATGTGAAATTTACAGGGGAAAATGGGATTTTAAAATGTTATATCGTTTAAATAGACTTAAAATATATAGATGTAAATATTTTATATCTTTATCATGATAAAATAAAATAATATATTTTAAATTTATAGGACAAATCTGCCGACTACTCTCTAGCTAACAGTGTTGGGGTCAAAAATAACATATTCTCCATACTAGTTCTGGGGATTTATGAGTCTTTGATGGAGTACACATTCAACACTGGGCAATACAGGTAATTATAAACAGCAAAAACTTGTACACAGAGAAAATTTTAGAGTCCCTTGTTAGATGTAAAAAAAAATTTCAGTGAGTGTAATTTTCTTAAAACTTGATCTGAAAATGAAGAAATTAAGATTTTAATGAAATGATCCTAGAAATGTCTGTTTTGCTTCAAAAATTAAAGAAAAACCCTTTAATTGTAGTGAGTCAAGCTTGCAGCAGATTTTACATTTGTTTGAGAATTATAAGAAATTGAGTGAAGTTTTGAAAGAAAAAGCTGCTGCTGGTGCTGGAAAGAAGGGAAAACCTCCCACAGGAAATAAGACCCCCCTCAGCCTCCTGTCTATCAGGGGGACCACAGAGATCCTGAGGGCTCTCATTAGGTAGGCAGGGTAGAACCATGTTATTGAACAGGTATATTGGTTTGAGACAATATTGTGAATCACTAATATAGTAATAATCGTGAGGGTTAAATTTTTGCTGTTTTCATCGTATGAAGAGACCCATGAATTTTTATCCTAAAAAAAAAAATCTGTAAAATTTTAAATGTGAAGCTACACAGCAGTTCTTTAACTACAAAATTATAAATTCCCTTGAAACAGCAGTTTTCCTCAAACCTCAAAATTTTAACCTGAGTAAATATAAGGTTTAACAGTTATTACAGTAAGGTTCATTATATTATTTTCAGAAGTAAATAAAAACAGTATAAAAATCACTCTATGGCTTTAATATTTCAGTGAAACTGCACCAAGTTTGACAGAAAATCTGAAGATCTTGAGAGATGACACGGACTTCAGAAGACATATTGTCAATGTGGCTCTACAGAAAATACATCAGGTCCAGGAGAAGGGGGTGTGTGATGGGGCAGAGGGTGGGGATAAAACCAAGATTCTCCAGTATCTTATCTGTCTGGCCAAGTAAGAAATGAGAGAATCATAAATGTTAGGGAGGGACTCGCATATATGTAGATTTACTTTTCTATTGTTAAAAACAATTTTCTGATCAAACACTAGGAAATTACGTGTAAAGTGGTTTTTTTTATGCTTTTCATTTCAAGCATGTAATTTAGTCTACCATTAATGGACTCCATATGCTTAAATTTAAGTTAGGTTAACAAATTGTTCTCAACTTACCATGCTATCTGTTATCCATATAATCATTTTACATGGGAATAAAGCTGCATTGACTTAGACATCAACAAAGATGTACTTCTGTTTCAGGATATTCATCACCCACTACACAGAAAATCAGCGGCCCGAGGAGGAGGGGAAGAGAGACAGGAGTAAATACATCAGTGGCCAGTGTCTAGAGGGGCTGGTGGGGATAATGACCGTTATATCCCAGCGATACACCGAACAGTTCTGTCACTGTCTCTGTGAAATGGGTAAATGATTTATATAATGACCATTATATCCCAGCGATACACCAAACAGTTCTGTCACTGTCTCTGTGAAATGGGTAAATGATTTATATAATGACCATTATATCCCAGCGATACACCGAGCAGTTCTGTCACTGTCTCTGTGAAATGGGTAAATGATTTATATCATGACCGTTATATCCCAACGATACACTGAACAGTTCTGTCACTGTCTCTGTGAAATGGGTAAATGATTTATATAATGACTGTTATGTCCCAGCGATACACGGAACAGTTCTGTCACTGTCTCAGTGAAATGGGTAAGTGATTTATATAATGACCGTTATATCCCAGCGATACACTGAGCAGTTCTGTCACTGTCTCTGTGAAATGGGTAAGTGATTTATATAATGACCGTTATATCCCAGCGATACACCGAACAGTTCTGTCACTGTCTCTGTGAAATGGGTAAATGATTTATAGAATGACTGTTATATCCCAATGCTACACTGACCAATTCTGTCACTGTCTCTGTGAAATGGGTAACTAGATTAAACATGTAGATTAGAATATACAGTTGAACTTTGGTATCTCAAACACTGATATTTTGAATTCCATGGTTATATCCAAGTGATTTTTGAAGTCCCAACCACTTATTTTTGAGTATTTTCCCCTGATATCTTGAATTCTCAGATGTCTCAAAAAACATTTTCTCAGTCATTTTGAGTGTGAGATAATGAGGTTTGACTATATATGCACATTGCTTCTCTTGAATGATTCCTTGTGATTTGAAATGTTAAATGTGTTACCATTTTAATAAGTCCATAACTGTATTGTTTTTGTGAAGGAGATACTTTTAAACTTGACTGAATGTAATTTTTCCATCATATCAGAAAATGTGAAGGCATACACTATGATTTATGATATAACTGTTTACGAGGAAGAATTTGAGTATTTCAGAGTGTATGGCATTTTGTAGTGGACGCTGATGAGTCAGAAGATGTCCAGGAAGTTATTTACAGTCATATTAAAAAGTACCAGGTAAAACTTCAGCCAGTAATGGTGTGGCCTGTAGTTAATTTGTTGAAATGAGTTATTTCTGAAATTCACATTTAGCATGAATACCACACGTGTATATGTTCTGTTACCCTTAGCTGTTTCTAATAAGTTTTATTTCTATTTTTTTTTTTTTTTTTCAGCGACTGGTCATGAACATTTTGAAATCTGACAGTGAAGATAAGAACATGAAGGAGGTCCAGTTATTGCTGGGAATTATACAGATTCTGTGTAAAAAGCTGTACAGCTCGGGGAACCAGTTTGAGAAAGTCTTGGACTGGGTTCACAAAATCTGTACGGAGCAGAGTATTGGTGAGCCAGTAGTACTCATAAATTGATCTCATTTCCTAATTGTGTGTTTATACATGTACATGTACTTACAAGAACCAACTCTCTTTCCAGATGACATCCCTACCTGTAAACTCCTATTCTCCATGCTGTTGGCCATCACCCAGCAGGTGAAGAGTTGTCCGCCCTTGTTACGCGACCTTTCACAGGATGTACACAGTCAGCTGGGGGATATAGACCAGGTGTGTTTTGTGTGTGTAGAAACATTGAGAAAACTGACTTTGTTTATTGTAAAACCACAACGTATTGCCAGTGGAACAAAGCATGCTTAGTGTTTCAGACAATTTTTTGCCATATGACTATTCCAGCCCTAGAATTATTTGTTGTAGGAGACCCAGGTGGAGGACAAGACTCACTTTTCCTTGGTGACACACAGAACCGCGGCCCCGGTCCTGCTGAATTTAGTTTTACAGCAGGTAGAGAGGGAACTGGACGATACAGAGTGGGTGGTGGCCAGACTCCGGGCGGAGACTGGACAGGCCAACGGTCAGTGTGTGTGATAATTATAGGATCAGGAGAATTCTATCAATGAAAACTACACAAAATATGAAGAATATGTGTACATTTATGGTTACCAAATAAGTATAAAACTATTTTTTAACCTCCAATTTTATTTAGGGAGGGATGGGGAAGTGAATAAGTCAATGGATATTGAAAGAAGTAAATATTTCTACATAAAAATTTGAATCTCAACCTTGCTCAATGTTAAATTTAATCCATGCATGTACTTGAAAAGGAATGCTTGTTTAATCAATCCAAATTAATGACACCAAATGTTACATATAATTTTCTATGTACCCAGTGATTAACTATTCTCATCAGTCCTTTAACATTAAGTTTGTGTGGTTCCAGATGAAGCAGAGGTAGACCTGACCCAGAAGGAAGGCCATGAGAGAAGTATCTGTACCAGACTAGGTATACTGGTCACCGCGTTCCATGAGCTTGTCCAGGCCGCGGTACCTGTGGGGGGATGTATGGAGAACATGGTCAAACAGGCCACCAGGCTGTACGGGACCCTAACCATCCTGGTCAAATATGTACGTTCTTCTCTGTGTATTCAAATCTGAACACGAATTTGAAATTTCTAGTCAAATACGGTGTAAACCGAAATTATAGGTGCACTTACATTATTTAATGATAGAGGAGTTTTGTTAGAATCCTTAAATTATTTTATATTTCTCAGAATTTTTGAACATCTCCCATTAATTAGTGTTTAAATGAACCTATATTCCATTTTGTATTCTACGTTTAGTGTAAAGACATTTCTAATGTATCTTATAAGCATTATCATAAATGTGAGTTTGTATTTTAAATTTTTAATGAGTAAATATTTCAAAGTACCTTCATTATCTTTTTATTGGCATGATGCATAGGAAGAAAATGCTTGGAGTATCTTAATTAACTACCTGTATGAGACTCTCCATCCTGTTTGCTGATGATTTTGTTATGTTATTTTTCAGTATCTGAATCTCTATCAGCTAAAGGCTGGCCATTTGTCATCCAGGTTTGAGAAGCTCATCAAATTGATTGGAACCCACTTAACACAGTATTGCTACGCAATGATCACATATATACAGGTATATATCTAACTAAGGACTGCTATGAAGAGCAGACCTGTTTACTCTTACGATTTTGCTGTATTTTGTACAGATTTTTAGTCTAAAATACGTCTCACGTTTTGCTTTTATTAAATTACGGAAATCTGAAATGCGTTCGTTAAGAATTTAGCAGTTAGTTTTTGGTATGATCTGACACTTTTAATCAGTAAAAAAGAGAAAAATTTCAAACACTTAAGTGATGTCTGGTTGCGAAAATGCTGTGGTATTATAAAATGTTAAAGACCATAGAATACTGAGAGACGACGATATGGGTAAACAGGTCTGTAAGAGATAATATACATGTTTATCTGTCTCTCTGATTGTCCAGTAATATTGTACCTAGGTCATTATTTTGCAAAAGAGGAACCATGGAATTTCAAAATGGATTTTTATATGACCCTGACCATGTAACCGTGACCTAACTGTAAATAAATCAATGCTTTGAAATCTTTTATGATGAGCAAGGGTGCCCTTTTCAAAATTTAAAAATGTGTTACACTATAACAATAACCTACTATCTATATTTTGTAGCAAACAGAAAGTGAGCAGGTTCAGCAGAATGTGGACAAAGGGAAAAAGGACAAGAAGAAGCAGGCTGCGGCTCTTAATGCTGGAAAGGTTGGACAGATTGTATTATAGTGCAGACTAAATGCCAGCATGCTGGTGTCTACATGGATATTAGTATATGAGTATTTGTTGACATAATGTTACATGCATGAATTAAGTGATGACCCCCTGCCAGTTTTGATCATCTAGTAGGGAAAACTGTTTGAGGGTTTGAGGGGGTATTAAGAATTTTTTTTAGAATATTGAATTTTTTTTAAACTGCATTACTTAGATATGTGGAAGTATATATGAAATAACTTAAAGTTAAATCCCTTTTAAATCACATGTTTCTTCGTCAGAAATATAATTTTAGTGTGAGCTGTCTTCTCATGAGTTTCCTGACAGTGTATGATTTTCTCTGTTCTTTGAGCATTGTATTAGGTGTAACTTGTAATATAAATCTTTTCTTACTCAGGCACGGGTGCTGAAGGAATCCAGACTCATTCCAAACCTCATTTTCTCCATTGAAACATTTGAAAAGTTCCTGATTCAGCTGTCCAAAAAGTCCAAGGTACTACATCAACCCTCCAGGTTTTAATAACTTAGATACACATCCAACATTGTTCTGTAAATTAAACCATATAAATAACTAAAATGTTTTTGCTATGTAATTTGAAGGTGAACCTGATGGAGCACATGAAGATGAGCACGTCTCGAGATTTCCGAATCAATGTGGCCACGATTCAGGCCGTGATGGAGAACGACTCGGACTCACAGGAATCATCAGAGGAGGAGGAGGAGGAAGAGGAAAACAATCAAAATGAGGAGGATCAGGAAAATGAAGAGGTATGCTGCCCCGCCCCCCTCACTTTCTCATCCGGTTCTTGACCACTTTCTGACCTAAGGTTATTTTTGAAGGACATCTTTGTAAAGAGTAACTTCTTGTAGTATCCATCAGACTGCCTAATTTATTTGATCATTTGTATTTTTCAGAACAGTTCTGAACAGCAAGAAAACACCGCTCCAACCAACAAACGCCCCCCAGAGCCCCTTGATCCACCACCTGCAAAGAAATCCAAACTCGGAAAAAAGTCTAGAGCTGGCAAAGTGTAAAACTTCTTATCTTTTTTAGCAGACTTTGTTAATCCTCTGATTTGTTAAGGCTTATTTGTTAGGTAGATATGTGCCAAATATTTTAGACTTATGTATCTGTATAAACATTTACAATTAAATACTTGTAAATGAATTTTAATTATACCCGCACTTTCTAAAGAAAGTTCGGGTATATTGTTGTTACTCATGTCCGTCCGTCCGTCCGTCCGTCCGTCCGTCTGTCACACTTTTCTTCCCTGAACTCCTCCTACATTTTACACAGTAGCTTAATTGGTTTGTGGGGTCATGTAGATGTGCAGTAAGCTTTCGGAATTTTGATTTTGCCCCAGGGGGTCAAATGGGGGTCGAAAAATGACGTTTTTTAAGCAAAAAGCTCCGTCTTCCCTGAACTCCTCTTACATTTTACTCAGTAGCCTAACCAGCTTTTGGGAGATGGTTGGTGGGGTCATGTAGATGTGCAGTAAGGTTTTGGAATTTCGATTTTGCCCCGGGGGGTCAAATGGGGGTCGAAAAATGACGTTTTTTGTCCAAAAAGCCCCGTCTTCCCTGAACTCCTTCTACATTTTACTCAGTAGCCTAACCAGCTTTTGGGAGATGGTTGGTGGGGTCATGTAGATGTGCAGTAAGCTTTCGGAATTTTGATTTTGCCCCAGGGGGTCAAATGGGGGTCGAAAAATGACGTTTTTTGTCCAAAAAGCCCCGTCTTCCCTGAACTCCTTCTACATTTTATTCAGTAGCCTAACCAGCTTTTGGGAGATGGTTGGTGGGGTCATGTAGATGTGCAGTAAGCTTTCGGAATTTTGATTTTGCCCCAGGGGGTCAAATGGGGGTCGAAAAATGACGTTTTTTAAGCAAAAAGCTCCGTCTTCCCTGAACTCCTCTTACATTTTACTCAGTAGCCTAATCATCTTTTGGTAGATGGTTGGTGGGGTCATGTAGATGTGCAGTAAGCTTTCGGAATTTTGATTTTGCCCCAGGGGGTCAAATGGGGGTGGAAAAACGACGTTTTTTAAGCAAAAAGCTCCGTCTTCCCTGAACTCCTCTTACATTTTACTCAGTAGCTTAACCAGCTTTTGGGAGATGGTTGGTGGGGTCATGTAGATGTGCAGTAAGGTTTTGGAATTTCGATTTTGCCCCGGGGGGTCAAATGGGGGTCGAAAAATGACGTTTTTTGTCCAAAAAGCCCCGTCTTCCCTGAACTCCTTCTACATTTTACTCAGTAGCCTAACCAGCTTTTGGGAGATGGTTGGTGGGGTCATGTAGATGTGCAGTAAGCTTTCGGAATTTCGATTTTGCCCCAGGGGGTCAAATGGGGGTCGAAAAATGACGCTTTTTGTCCAAAAAGCCCCATCTTCCCTGAACTCCTTCTACATTTTACTCAGTAGCCTAACCAGCTTTTGGGAGATTGTTGGTGGGGTCATGTAGATGTGCAGTAAGGTTTTGGAATTTTGATTTTGCCCTGGGGGGTCAAATAAGGGTCGAAAAATGATGTTTTTTATGGAAAAAGCCCCATCTTCCCTGAACTCCTCTTACATTTTATTCAGCATCCTAATCATCTTTGGGAGATGGTTGGTTGGGTCATGTAGATGTGCAGTTAGGTTTCGGAATTTTGATTTTGCCCGGGGGGTCAAATGAGGGTTGAAAAATGACGTTTTTTATGGAAAAAGCCCAGTCTTCCCTAAACTCCTTTTTTGTTTTAAACAGTGGTCTTATCATCTTTTGGGAGAGTTCACTCTTTTGAAATTTTGTTAAAACATCAAGGTCAAGGGGTAAAAAATCATAGCATGTTGGGAGCCTCTTGTTATGGGTAATGTTCACTTGAAATGTGAAAGTCAAATCTCTTCTCAATGAAAAGGAAATACAACATTAATGAAAACTAAGTTAAACTTCAAGGTCAAGGTCACAGAGTCAAAAAGTCATGATACATTTTGGAAGGTCTTATCACAGGTAATATGAATGCCCTTTCATTTATCTTTCAAAATGATCAATTCAAAGCAATTAATTTTTTTAAGGAAATTAGGTCAAACTTCAAGATCATGGGTAATGAAAATCATATTGTATGTAGAATGGTATTGTCCCATTTAATACTAATACACATATTTAATATAAAAGTCCTATCTCTTCTCATTCAAAATATACGACCATGATGACCAAGGTTAAATTTATTGTGACAGATAGGCAGATTGACAAACAAATGAGATTTAATGTACCCTACCTTTAGCAAAAATGGGGACAATAAATGTCTTTGCTGTTCTTGAGAAGAAGATTTATGTTGGAACAAGATGTGTTTGTGAAACACTACGCGCCCGGCGGCAACAAAGTTAAAAAAATCTTCTTTTAGCATATTGATCACAGTCAAGGTCACAAGGTCATTGACCATGGTGTCATTCGAAAGAACTTAATCAGTGGAGTATGCGTACTAAATATGAAGTCCCTATCTCCCATGGTTCAAAAGTTGTGGCAAAAAGTGTAAAGAGCTATTTTTAGCATATCCGTCACAGTCAAGGTCACAAGATCATTGACCTTGCCGTCGTTTGAAAGGACTTTATCGGTGGAGTATGCATACCAAATATGAAGTCCCTATCTCCTATGGTTCAAAAGTTATGACAAAGTGGAAAAAGCTATTTTTAGAATATAGGTCACAGTCAAGGTCACAAAGTCATTGACCATGGTGTCATTTGAAAGAACTTAATCGGTGGAGTATGCATACCAAATATGAAGTCCTTATCTCTGATGGTTCAAAAGTTATGGCAAAAAGTGTAAAAAGCTATTTTTAGCATATAGGTCACAGTCAAGGTCACAAGATCATTGACCTTGATGTCATTTGAAAGGACTCTATTAGTGGAGTATGCATACCAAATATGAAGTCCCTATCTCCTATGGTTCAAAAGTTATGACAAACAGTGGAAAAAGCTATTTTTAGCATATAAGTCTTAGTCAAGGTCACAAGGTCATTGACCTTGAAGTCATTTGAAAGGTTTTTATTAGTGGAGTATGCTTACCAAATATGAAGTCTCTATCCCTTATTGTTCAAAAGTTATGGCCAAGGTTAAAGTTGACAAACAGACAAACAGATAAACAGACAAACAGACAAAAACAACAAAAACAATATACGCCCGGGATCTATCGATCCGGGCGCTTAAAAAGTACCCTGCATATTTAAATGTAAATTGGTTGAAATTAGCCTAGTGGTTCTTAAGAAGTTAATGTGAAAAGTTTGCAGATAAACAGATGGACAACAGAAATCAGTACATTTCAGAAAACAGTATGCTTATAAATAGTTAATCAAGGTGCTTTGGGTAGCAAAATAAAGCTAAACTGGTATATCTAATTCATCCGCAGAGCTTAGTATATTTCAATATGCACAACCTTTTCAACTCTTATAATTATTTTTTAAAATTTATATCACCATGTCTCATTCAAGGGAGAACTAGAGATATGACCAGATGTATATCTGTTGAATATAAAATATGTACATGTATTCTGTGTTTTTTTTTAGTAATTTGTTTGTTTGTTGTGACAGCAACTGTTATGGCAGCTTTTGGCAAAGGTTGAAGTTTCTCAAATGTAAGTCAAACTCCAAGGTCAAGGTCAAAGGGTCTAAATTGTTGGTATCAAAGGGAAAGTCTTGTCACAAGGAATACACATGTGAAAAAAGAGAGAAATCCCTAGAACTTCCTCACCTGTTCAAAAGTTATTGCCAAGGTTAAAGTTAAATTGGATTCAACTCTAAGGTCTAGGTCAAAAATAATTATACCTGTTGAAAGTTCACAATGATTACACATGTAAGAGCATGAAAGTCCTAGCACCACCTGTTCAAAACTTACGCCAAGTTCAAGGTATTTTTCTTGTAAAATTGGGTCAAAATCCAAGGTCAAGAGATCAAGAGGTCAAAATTGGTGGTACCCATTAAAAGGTTTTGCCAAAAGAAATTTACCTATGAAATATTCAAGCCATGTGTATAGCCCAATCCACTTAAAAAATATGGGCAAGGTTAAAGTTTCCGTGGACAGACAAAAATACATAAACATAGGAAACAAAATATGTATAAATAGTCAATTGAAAAAATTTTCTACTACTACATTGTACTATGGAGTCATAAGATCAATTGTCATTTCAGGTACAGGGAGTCAGTGGCTAGGGAGATCAGACCCCCCCCCCCCCCTGGAATTAGCAGTTATTTAAATAAGACTATATATGTACTGTAGAGAATAAAAATGACTTTGGACATCCTCCCCCTTAGAAAACAGGGACTCCACCATCATTGTTTTTATTATTATTTTTTATTTCCATCTCAGGAAATCTTGGGCTGATTTTTTTGACTGAGGTGTGACACCCCCCCCCCCTTTCTGAAAAAAAAAAATTCTGGATCTGCGTCTGTTATATACTGAATGTCCGCAACGGGAGATAACTTGACAATGTGAAATTTGTCGACTGTGGCATGCGATGATCTTTGACCATGTTGACCCTTTTTGAACTTCAACCTAACCATTTGCATTTATTTATTTTTATGCAATCTATGCTAAATCTTGTACTTACCGAATGTCATAGGTCGTGACAACGAATTCATGAAATATAATCCATATAATCCAATTAAAACACAAATGATTTTAACTGACCACACTGCATCGTCAGCATACATGTGCTAAATAATCTCATTCGACAAACCTTTGCTGATTCCTTTGCCAGTATGAATTGGCCGAGGTGTGCCGAGAGGTGATATCTATAAATATGATAATGGGTGACGCAAACCCAATGTGAATGTAGAAAATAAAACTGTTTAGTACAAGAACAAATTTCAAACTATCATAATAAACTAAACTATGTTTTTTTAAAAAATGTGAGGGTGAGAGAGAGAGAGTGTGTGTGTGTGTGTGGGGGGGGGGGGGGGGGGAGATAGGCATTGACAAATTAAACGGGTTGTATTTTCAATGGGTTTTTTTCCCGACCAAATACTTAAATCAGTTTGCACATTTTGATAAATTCATCAAAAACGCTTTGTACTAAAATAATATTTTATGTCGTTGAGAAAGTAAATTTAAAAAGTTCCAAATTATGGGGAAATTATTTATTTGAATCTAATTAAGTAATTTACTTCAATCATTAATTAAATTCTGTTATTTCAGACTGGTTATGAATTAAGTATTTTAAAATACATATGTGAGGCTCAGAGTTGATATGGTCATAGGCATTGACAAATTAATCGGGTTGTATTTTCAATGGGTTTTTTTCCCGACCAAATACTTAAATCAGTTTGCACATTTTGATAAATTCATCAAAAACGCTTTGTACTAAAATAATATTTTATGTCGTTGAGAAAGTAAATTTAAAAAGTTCCAAATTATGGGGAAATTATTTATTTGAATCTAATTAAGTAATTTACTTCAATCATTAATTAAATTCTGTTATTTCAGACTGGTTATGAATTAAGTATTTTAAAATACATATGTGAGGCTCAGAGTTGATATGGTCATCTGAAAATTTTATGTTCAATTTGACGAATACATGTACGGTGATAATTATAGAATTATTTTGACTTCTTCCTTGGAAAGTCCAATATGAATGAGTGTATATTTAGAGGCAAACACCATAGTGCGGGTATTACTGTCTCATGACAGCATCTAGTTTTTTTTTATTTTTACAAATGTTGCAGTTCTATTTAATTTTCCTCATATTGCAATCCTATTGCAGAATTATATGGAAAATCACTGTTGTGTTTCAAGCAACATGAGTTCGTGAAAAACAAAGATATAACATTATATATAGTGGAAAGACAGCAAAGAAGGTTAAATATTTAGTTTGGTGAGCTAAAAGATTTTAAAAAGTACAGCTTTCATGTTTAATCACACTTTGATAAAAAAAAAATAAAAAAATTTATCTACCAGGTTCATAAAATCCAACCCCCCCTCCCTCCGTAACAATTTTATGAATGCGTCTTTTATTGAATTTCCAACAATTTCCTAGTGTGCAATAGCTTTCGTGTTTGATGTTTGTTGAAAATGTTTAGGATCTGCCTAGTACACTGTTGATACTTTCCCGAATTCTCAATGTTCTTTAACCATTTTAAGAAAACGGCACTTGATAAAATGCCCGTTTTTCTGGCCATCAGGGACACGTCTCCGTCAATATTGCTTTGTTGTTGCGACTGATTTCCCATTGACAAGCCCCTATGTCGATAAATGAGAAAACGTCTTCATATCTTCATCTGAGGTGATTTGAAGAAATATGTAGATTATGAATAATATTCAAGCTCACAAGTCCGTTCAAACAATACAAATCAGGAGCAGAGCTAAACATCTGTAAAAAATCAGAGGTGGGATCAGGTGCCATGGAAGAGTAAGCATTTACCAAAATGCCGTAGCATGCTTGATTATCATAGCAAATTTTTTTTCTCTCTCATATAGAACAGCCACGTGAAAGTGGGAGGCCAGCCACAGAATTTTTTTTTTACTTACCTGAAAAAGATGACAAGTAAATAAAAAAGGAAATTTCCCGAAGTCGAAAATCCTATTTCGTCGGGGGTGGGTTTAGGTGCCAACTTTTTTCAGTACCAACTACATTTTCCTTGTATTAAAAAAAGTTGGGGGGGGGGGGGGGGGGGCAACCAGATTTTCAATGAACATTTACTACAGTTTAGGTCATGTTGGGAGAAAAAGCCCCACCCCCGTTGCTACGTGCCTGTAGATTTTAAAAAATAAATTTTGGTACTAATAAACACGGCGGCTTAGAAAGGGATATGTTTAGTATCCATCAGAATCCAGACAGGGACGAAATTTCAACAATTTGTCTTGACTTTCATCCAATCACATTGCAACAACGCACAAGTGTTCTTCAAGATTGACTATTTTTGGCAACACCTGATCAATGGCCTTGCCTGCTCTTACGTTTGCTTTTTCACCAGGGAACATTTTGTGTAGATGTATAGTTATTTTTTCTGCGCCGTAGTTGAGCCATTTAAAAGACACTGCACATGACTGCATCAGACAAAAGGTATTATGCATAAAATCATTACAAGGTAAATTTTAAACCGCAGCAAACTACAAAATGGCGGAGGGTGGAGAGCTCCATTCAGTCTACGTAGAACAGGTAAGAGAATTTGAATCTTTTAAGTTTAGTATGATATTGAACAGCAACGTTCTAAAATAAGAAAAAGCCCCTCCCCCTCCCCCCCCCCCCAAAAAAAATAAAAAATAAAAATAAGTAGGAAAAAAGGGAACTATTTTCAACAAAATTTTTTTTTTGTTTTAAATAAAAGGATTAATATTGATGCTGTTTGCTTGATATGGTAGATCCAGCGTCTCTCCCAGAAAACCTTGTATATTGACTATATTTACATTCAGTTTAATTTTTTTTTGCCCTTGTGATCGAAGATTCTGGAGTTTATAAATGTGTTTGTGAAAACTATGCACAAGGCGACAACAAAGTTCAAAAAAGCTATTTTCAGCATATAGGTTAAGGTCACAAGGTCCTTGATCTTGATGTCATTTGAAAAAAACTTGAAAAGTAGTGAAATATGCATACCATATATGAAGTCTATCTCATGTGGTTCAAAATTTGTGGTGAAAGTTCTAAAAAGCTTTTTTTAACATGTAGGTCACAGTCAAGGTCACAAGGTCATTGACCTTGGTGTCATTTGAAGAACTTTATTAGTGGAGTATGCATACGTAATATGAAGTCTTTGTCTCTTATGGTTCAAAAGTTATGGCGAAAGCTTGAAAAAGCTATTTATAGCATATAGGTCACAGTCAAGGTCACAAAGTCATTGACCTTGGTGTCATTTGTTTGAATTTAAATAGTGGAGTACGCATACCAAAAATGAAGTCTCTAATATCTTATGGTTCAAAAGTTATTGCGAAGGTAAAAGTTGAAAACAGACAGACAAACAGCTAAAACAGGCAGACAGGACAAAAACAATATACACCCCGGATCTATCAATCCATGCAGTAGCATAAAACCTCTTACTTTGGCATAACTTCTGAACGTTTGATGCTTAGGCTTTCATATTTGACAGGCATATTCATGTTGACCTTAACTTTGTGAAGTTTGACATATTTGAGAAACTTTAATCTTCGCCATAAGCTGTCATAGGGGGCATCAGTGTTTTGCAAACACAATGCATCTTGTTCTTTTACAATCTCCTACAACATACACACGAAGACTTGTATCCGTGCGGTATAGAATATACACTATGTAGAAACAGAGACCTGGTAGAACTACTTTAACTTTTATTAAACAAGGAAAATAAAAGATATTCGTGTCTATTGTAGTAAAAACAATTATAGTTAATACAGAATATAACAATTTAACGTATAAAATTAATGTCATTGCCCCTCGCAATTAATGATATAGCTTAAACATCAAAACAGCTATATTACATCTGTTAACCACACCAGTTCTGAAAAGATACAGTTGAAAGAAATTAACACATCTGAAGAAAATATATAGAGAATGTAAATAGAACTATGGAATCCTCTTTTTTTGGATGAAGGAACCTAGTTGTGTTGACAAATCATTATACCTCTCAAACGCGCGGTATTCATTTTGTTGGCCTGATATACGACACCGGCGACTACAAGAAAGAATTCAATGCTTGATGTTGATTGTACGATAAAAAGGCACAATACTTGATTGTATACTTTACTTCCTTAAGGTTTTTCAACCCTCACAAATTTAACGGTTCAAAGTACAAAAATTGAATTTATTTTCATTTATAATGTTTAAATTTACCAATTATTGCGAAAAACGTAAAGGTCGCCATATCATTTAAGATGGTAGACATAAATAAACAGAAGCCTATGTTAGCATAAAAATATTGTACATTTTTTGTAAACAGTATCGTAAATATTATGTAAAAACTGATTCAAATGCATAATTCTGATGCTGAAAGTTCCTAAATACTTGCTACTTATAAGATATTTTTGAATTGTGAATATCAGGGAAACTATTTTACATTAGAAAATCAATCAACATGTATTTACGTCCTTCACACCCATTAAAGTCAAAATATGACTAAAATCGGTCGATCCTTCACTGCAAAATCATTTTTTTTTTAACCTTTATTGCACATGTAAAGGTTGTCCGGTAAAATCGTGGACAAGTAAAATTGTCTCACGTGAATAATAATCATCACTGCGTTCGGAAATTTTCACTACTCCTTAGTACATATTTTCTGAATAAATATACCAAATTTCAAATAGAATCTATATATGTGAATAAATAAACAAATTATGAGATTTTATTTTATGTATTGTATCGCCTTGGATGATATAACTTCAAAGTGTCTAAAACAGCGTCACGTTTAATCTTTGTGCCAAACATGAAGTTGGATAAGTCCCACTTAAGTTAAGTAATTTCACGGATGCATATACTTTTGTCTCCATAAACAGCTGAGGAACCAATCTGGCACAAAGGTGCGATCTTCTGAGGATTTATTAGTAAGTTGCGAATAATATTCCCAACATCAGTCGACTTTAGACAATTTTATATTGACGGTCAACAATGGACAGCGTCTTTTGCTATTATAATATCAGTTTGTCCGTATGTTTTGTACTACCAGGGGACTCGATCAAGAAATACTTCACTGAGAAAACTCCCATTTTATTTCTATACTTAAGATTTTGTGATTTTTTCTCTTTTGTAGTCATTTAAAGTCTCTTAAGTTGTTATTACACCATGTACATCAAACTAAACTGCTCTCCGGTGCGCCGTAACGTCATCAAACGTGTGTTACAACGCACTTTGAAAAATTACGCACTTTGAAAAAATTTGGGACCACATCAACGCACTTTGAAAAAATAAGATTTCTTTTCAAAGTGCGTTAATATCAACCATATTAACGCACTTTGAAAAAATGTATATGGCTAGGTCAGTATTCTTTCAAATCTTAGTAATGATAAATAATTGAACCTGTTAGATAACTCTTCGGTGATGATGAGGTCACTTCAGGATTTGAAAGTGAGCGATTTCAATTTTTCCAGACTTTGAAAATCCTTTCTCTCTTAAATGTTTTAATGTCCTTATTTTTTTTTCCAGTTTGCATGCATCATATATAAACTAAAATTTATTGAAAGTTTTCAACGTTATACCAGCTATGCAAATACGTACATGTACATATATTTGAGTGTAGCATAGGCAGCAGTATCGGGAAGGGGGGGGGGGGCTTAGGCCAATGATCAATGATATGTATAATATAGGGATTGAAAATTGGGGCTGACCTTTGGGATGGGGTGCAGTCCTCTTGCAATTTGCTACCAACGGCTATGTACAATACATGTATAAGAAAAAAAGAGTTGGACTGAGAGACCTTCTACTCGTCTTCTCTTTGTTCTCAATGAGGTTAAATGAGTACATGTAAATGAAAAGTTTTTCGAAAGATATAATTATTACGAATTGATTCTCTCAATTACTAAAATATAAGTATATAATTTTTTGTTTTATACATATTTTTTCAAAGTGCGTTAAATGTCCCCATGGTAAAAATATTGATGTACACTCTTAACGCACTTTGAAAATATTTTTCAAAGTGCGTTGAGTGTGTCCCAAATTTAACGCTCTTTGAAATTTTGTTTTCAATGTGCGTTAATTTTATCCCAATTTTAACGCACTTTGAAAAATTTTTTCAAAGTGCGTTGCCACAACGTCACTATTTTTCATGTGTTGTGTTTATCACTTTCCCATTTCGAATGCTCAGGAAACTGCCAAAAATTGACCAAATGCCTTGAAATTTTTAAAAAGACGACAAAATAAGTTGTGGAATGGAATAAGGATAATGTTTAACCCATCTTATCTATTTAAATATTTTATTTCTAATCAATATACTCATGTACTCTCTAATAAAACCTTCGTTTTTCATCGTGCGCCGTAGGACCGTACCCTGTGCACATTTAAGCATAATAAGATCCTTATTTTCAAGTATATTTTATCAAAAAAGGTATGATACACTTCAGTATGATAAATGAACATTAAAATACTGAAAATTTCAGCTACGTGTGCCCATTATTTTTCAAAAAAAACCCGCTTTGTCCACGATTTTACCGGACAACCTTCGCATATTACAAAAGAAAAATAAATTACAATGTACTTCCAGTTTGTCTCAATTGTGAAAATAAAAGTTTATATTTTTTTGCTAATGTTTCAAGTACAAGCAATCATATACCTTAAAATATAAGGAGGGTTTGAGGTAGAAAAGGTGTGACATGCAACCAGGATAACGAATACTCGAATATCTTTTGAAAAGAAATACATGTACTAGATTATAGTTTTTCTCTCTTTTAACATTAATGAATATCTATTAAAATGAAATACTAGATTATAGTTTTTCTCTCTTTTAACTTAAATGATACAAAGAAGGTCTCATTGTTTTAATACTTAACAGTTTCAAGATTTTAAAATCTTAGCGTTTGTGTTTATGGTCTAGGGACTGGTAGCAAATGATATTACCCCTATCCCCATATTTCCTTACTTCCATTTAACGAAAGAAAGCAATCCTTTTTTCAAAATTATAGTTTAATATAAATAATTAAAATTTTCCTACTCTTTGACCTTCTTGACATAGCCATACCCTTGACTCCCTATAACAATATTTTAAAAATGTGTCATTCATTAATAATAATAAATAGCATAATAAATAATTTTGTTTCTTCACAGCTTTTTCAACGGTTATATGGAGAAACCACAACATCCTTTGATATAAACATAGAAAAGAAAGGTAATTTTTTAAGGCATAGATATTACATCCATTTCTCTCTTTTTTGATGACACGAACTTCAACATTAAAACAAAATGAAAATAAAATTGAGAAATATTTTACATTAAATTGTCCTCCGTAGACTTAGGGATAGAGGTGGCAGGAGGACCAGACGAGCAACACATCCCGGGGGACAATGGAATATTTATCACACAGATCCTAAAGGGAGGCACAGCTGAGGAGGACGGGAGGCTGGCCGTGGGTGATAGGATCCTGAAGGTAAAAATAGGTCCAAATATTGATATATCAACACTGGGGTCAACAAGGCAAAAGAGACAAGAAAGTAAAGGGAATGAAGGACAGTGACAGGGGTGATACAATTGTTAAAAAAGAGTGATAGATGAGGATATAGTCTGTTACTAAGTATCTCCTGAAATTTACGTATTTGCTACAATTTATTGACTTGCAGCAACTATGAATGGTATCAAGATCGCCAAAAGCAGCACGTCAGTTCTATAGCTAGAAATGTTTGTCAATAATTTACCTCTTAAAAACTGTACATACGGAAAGCAATTCAAATATTTTTCTTTATAACGGTTTAGTTTATATGGTCCTCTGTGGTCTATTGCAATTCCATGACGAATTTATATCTGAACCCTGTTTTTTTAAACTTGATTGTATTGTTAAAAAGGGTACAAAATTAATCTTATTTCCTTTCTTTCATAAGTAACGCATAAATGATTTGTTTGCAGATCAATGACACGGATGTCAGAAATATTACAAAGGATGAGACCATTAGACTTCTTAATTCCACCAGAGGTACCTTAAAGATTATAGTGTCAAAGCCTGTTGCTGAATTTGCTCTAACAGTAGACAGGTTACAACGTAGTCTAAACTACCTAAGTAAGTATACAAAATTCTTACACAGTTTCAGTATGGAAGTACATGATTTATACCGGTATCTTATTTTATAATATACCTGACAAATTATAAAGGACTACATCCTGCTTATAGATATACATTGGAAACATAATGTAGGATCTAAATTAATCAAATATGTAGTAAAATATACGTACATATAATTGATAATAACACCCTTCCTTTTTATCTTCTCAGACACTGACACTCAATGTTGTGCATGTCATACCAAAACGGAATCTTGTTGTGAAACTTGTCTTCTTCCCCTGTGTGAAAAATGCCAAACAAATGTTGAAGAAGAGAGACCGGACGTGAAAAATGCCCAGCTTCATAGTCAATGCTTTATATGCAAAAGGAAGGCAGATTTTTCCTGCAAATCATGCCGACTGCCAATCTGTTTTAATTGCAAAACCCCAAACCCACGCCTTGAACGTTTTGTTGAACATACGACCAGAAATGACTTAAAATGTTCCATCTGCAAAATGCCTACAGTTTATAAATGTGAAACATGTAATCTTCCCCTTTGCCAGAATTGCATTATCAGTCATGAAGACAAAGCGACATCAGATGCAGATATTTCTCTTGCCCAACACTTTGTTGAGTGTTTGTTTTGCAAAAGTAATGCCGAGTTTTGCTGTAGGTCGTGTGGGTTACCTCTTTGCGAGAAATGCAAGAAGGAACATGAACTTGATCAAAGAACAGAGAAGCATATGATCGTACCATATGGAGACTATTTAAAGATAGATCATGCAGCAGAGGTTTGTCAGATTCATCCATTTAATAATTATAATGCTTGGTGTGAAGAGTGCAAGATTCCCGTTTGTATCAGATGTGTCACAGATGCCGGACATAAAGGTCATTCCTTCGAAGATTCTCATTCTGTTTATGAAAGAACACGAGGAAACAGCTTGGAAAACTTGAAAAATATCAGAGAAAATCTTTTAGCAAAATGTCGTTTGTTGTGTGAAGACATTGACGCTGATATTCAGAATTCGGAAACCCGTATCTCTATGTTCGAAGAGAAAGTAAAATCTGAGGTGGGGCTTATCAAACAGTTTTTAGACATTGCAATGAAAAAACGAATAGAGGAATTTAAGTCCAAAGAGGAATGGTTTTTGGAAAGATTGAGCTCGCAAAAAGGGGAATTATCCTGTTTCATTTCATACCTCAAAGGAATTTCTGGTGAGTACGAGAAAAGACTGTATTCTAAAGAATTCGCTGGTCTACTTGAGTACCATAGCAAGATCCAGTCAGAAAAGATAAAAGAAATTCCAGACCTTCCTCTATTCTCTCCCCCTGGCATAAACGAAAAGTTTATTGTCTATGAAGATGTCTCCAAGCTTTTGAGTTCTGTATTAAGTTCTCGACACACGGGCAAAGTTCGAGAGGTTGACAAAATTATTCACGAATCCAAAGAGGAGAATGTTTTAAAGATATCCCCGATACGTCCGGAAGCTACTTTCTACATTCATGGATTAAAGACTTGTGACAGCATAGATGTTTTTCAAAGCAACGTTTGGATAAAAAAATCTGAAAACATGCTTGTACAGCTTGATAGACAATGGGGGGCAAAAGACAATATTGAAGTTGATCATGTTGAACGATTAGCAATCGCAAATGGTAGGGAAGTTTTTTATACAGATTCTAAAAACAACTGCATAATGAATCTGAAACACTCTGACGTAAATCTCTTTGTTGAAACAAATCCATGGAGCCCAGGTGCCATCTGCGCTTCAAGACTCACCAATGACCTTCTTGTTGGACTGAAAACGTCCAATGAGTCGAAAATTGTGCGTATCAATGAGGATGGAAAGACAACACAGAGCATCCAGTTTGATAATTCTGAGAAGCCACTTTTTATCTTTCCACATTATGTAGCTGAGAATATCAATGGAGACATCTGTGTATCTGATAAAAATGGCGCTGTAGTTGTGGTGGATAAGACAGGCGTCCACCGCTTCTCTTATTATGGACAACCCTCGGCATGGAGGTTGTTCGCGAAAAGAATTTTACCTTTGGGACTTTGCACTGATGCCTTGGGACACATCATTGTATGTGATAAGTACGAACTAACAATTCATGTCATCGACAAAAACGGGCAATTCATCACCTTCATCAAAACGATAGACATTCAAGCTCCTCTAGATGTTAGTGTTGATAAGGATAATAACTTATGGGTTGTTCAGAAGTCATCGGACACTCTTAGAGTTTTCCACTATTTGTCACAACATGAAAATGCATGAACTTTTCTTTTTCTTTCTTTTTTGAAAGAATAAGTTCTCTGTTCTTTTGAGAAAGAACAAGTTCATGGAGAAAATCCTTGTTTGATAGCTATTCTATGCAATTGTTCCTAGCTTTGATGCCATTTGTATATAGCATTTTTGTTGATGACAGAGAATGTGCTTTCTATAATTTTTGTCTTCTAAGGAGGCCAGGTAACCAGGAAAGTACATCAAAATAAAGAATACTTAGTAATTTGTATGATTGCCATAAATTTCGTTTCGTACGAAATAAAATGTTGAGTAGAAATCTATGAAAATTATCAGATTTCTACATATCAACCTTTTTGCTCTCCTGTAGAAACCTGTGTTCTGAACTATATTGTGTGGGATCTTAATCTTTTGTATTCTGTTTTTCTTTTCGTGAATGCCTCTTTATCATATAAAAATTTACTAGCATTTGTCTTTATTACAAAATGTTTAAAGTCCAGGGATTTTTTTTATATCATTGACAGTTTTTTTTCAATAAAAATGAAACTCGTACATTGTATTTAATTATTTTGTTTAAAAAACCTGATTGTACATACAAGTTCTCTGAAGTTGGTATTAAAAAGATGCCTGAATTTCTGATTGACAATATCTATGTAGTCTTGGGGGGGGGGGGGGGGTTCCAGGTTTTCCAACAATCTATTGTGTCTCGAGTGGCACAAGGTTGGTGCGTCTGCTCTAGAGTAACGAAGTAAGGAGTTGATCCTTATGTCGTGAGTTCGAATCCCACTTTGGGACATGGAGACTGGTCCTTCAGATGAGACCATGTAGATGTCGCAGTAGGTGTTGGCACGGAAGAGATTCCTCATTGCTCAAAGGCCGTTAGTGCTGAGTATAGAACACAATTTGCAGGAAGTAGAGGAGTCTCCATTCAAGTAAAATGTTATCGAGAGGGGCCTTAAATGGCAATTTAATGTCTCATGCAATCAACGACCAACAATCTTTTGGAATTCCTATAAAAACCAATTGCACCCCGTTGTTAGCAGACCTTTTTGTATTCAAATGAGGCAGAATTTTTCCAGAATCTTATACGTAAAAAGAAACATCTGCTGTGGACTTCAACACGACAGTTGAATACCAGGTATATCGACAACGTATCGTTAATTACAACGGTTATTTCCATTTTTAGGTTGATACGATATTTTAAAATTGGTTTAATACTTACTGGTATTATAATCTATTGTAACTACTGGAAAGTACAATAAATTATATGTTGTTCTGAATTTGCAAAAAAACAAGTCTATCCTTTGAATACCACAGTGAGCTTATTTACAAATTTTGAAAAAACTGTATGAGCAAAGGCTTGACAAATTTGCAACATAATGATAAAAAATCTTCATAAAAGAACATTAATTGTCTCATAAGAAGCATATGATCTTAATAAATTAAGCGATTGATAATTAAAGTATATATAGATAAAAAGCGATATAAGATCAATCTATTTATAAAATAAATCTGTATACAGGACATAAAACACGAACCCTAGAACTTCCAGAATGGTTGAATAAGGTGCCTAGGAGGAATGATCATCATCCCTTGTAGATTCACCGGATACACCCGCCACGAGTCATATTTAAACGAGTTTGTTGAAATACATGTTGCATCAACTTATCTGTTAGTATCCTGCTTTGGTTTAAAAATCTATTGTACTCGGAGAATGTTCATATATAAGTTTCTAATTCTTTTGATGATGTAAATGCCATATGCAGGTGAAAGCGGGATATTGTCACTTACATGTAAATAAGAAGAGCAGACGATAAAAACTGGCCATCTCGTTTGCCATAAAATTAAGGGTCCCTTGGTCAGTATCGTCTTCAATCCATAATAAATCCAAATATGAAACAGATTAGGCAAATTCTGTGGCGTCTTTTATTTCAAGTTCACTGGGATATACTTGGTCAATATATGAATTGAAATAATAATTGTCAGAATATATCGGCTTATAAAGACATATTGTTGGAAGACCTGACCCCCAAAGACTAAATATGTATAAAACATTTGGAGATAATGAACAGTATTCAAAATCAAAAGTCCATAAAACAATACAAAACAGGAGCAGAGCAAACACGGACCTCGAAAACATCAGAGCTGGGATCATGTGTCATGGAGGAGTAAGCATCCCCTGCCGACCGGCCACACCCGCCGTGTGCTCCTTGTATCTTGTGGCTGATAATTGATGTAAATCATCTCAGAGGATTTGTGTGAGAGGACTTGCCTTTCAAACTTATATAATGATCGACAAATTACATTGCAACAACACAACGTGAACGTGGTGTTGAAGACAATTGATAAAGTGATCAATGACTTCTGCTAAATTCTGTACAGTAGTCGAACTACTTAAAAGGTATAGTTGCGCGTTACTGCACCATACCTTATTTACAGGTAAAATCAATACAAGGTTGTATTAAAACAGAAGCAAATTACAGAATGGCGGAGGATAGAGAGTTTCATTCAGTCTACGTAGAGCAGGCAGGATAATTAGAATTCTAAAATTCGACATAGCAACGACAAAAAGTAACTTATCGATACCTATCAATAATTATGAGATTTTCTATTTTTAACTTTTTTTGCTTATCTATTAACAGTTATGATATAATTATGATAACTGATGTTATTGTACCAGTGCTCTTTCCTGTATGACCAGAAACCAGTGACCCTTTTCATAAAAAATACTGACGACTAGGTCTGAAATTTTCCCGCATTCCACAACAAATATCTGAGCTGCGATTTTTTTATTACAATATATTAATATTTTGTAATTAAATTGCAAAAAAAAATTTAGAATAAATATCTTTTTTAAATTAAAAAAAGTACAGATATGTGAGATTTTAGTCTTAGTCGTAAGATTTTTGTGCAATGGGTCAAAAATATTTTCATAAAATGTAATTTTCTGAAATTCATTAAAAATCTACAACATTAAACCTCCTATAACATATTAAATGGAAACTTGTCTGGAAGTGGTATTGAATATATCGGTATACGCTAGAAAACTGCATACATATGTACCTTTAAAAGACAAGGAAACCAAAAATTTGATTAATTAACAAAAAAGAGTAAATAATCTAAATATATAAGATGGAGCGCTTAAAATTATGTCATTTTCTCTCTCGCAAAATTGATTTGTGTTATGTAACTTTGTAACATAAAAAGGTAATTACGTCAAAAAAATACTTCACCTGTTCTGAAAGACGCAAAAGTTTGCTTTTTAAAACAACAGAAATGAATAAAAGAAACAGAGAACAAAACATATCTTTTTCTTGTTGTTAATCCAGAATATACTGGGTCAAGGTGAACAGAGAATTATATACTCAGTATATTTATTGGCACCCAACCAAGCAAATTCAAAATTTGACCAAATTAGCTTCCCACAGGTGAAAAATCAAAATTCTCAAACTTAATTGCACATGTCAACCAAGCAAAATATTCGAAGAGTATATCACTATGTGAATACTGCAAAATTTGTAAGAAAGGTTCAGGAAATCAGGTTTTTGCACAAAGGCATCTTTCGACCCGCAGATTAAAATTGAAATTCAACTCCTTTTTGCACGTCAACAACACTCATTCATATTCCAAAAGATGGGAAGGCTATTTTGAAAAAATGTTCGGAAGAGGAGATCAGGAGACGTAGTTTTTGAAAGAAAAAAAAAACTCTTTTTGATATCCCTTTCCAACTGAAAATTAATAAAATTAGAAATAAATTTCAAAAGCTGAGTGAACATCTATATAAAACCGAAAATATACTTATTTCACAAAATAGTTTTCTACATTTAAAAAAAGTACGTATGAGGATGTCAGAGAAACATTTTTGGTAGAAAATGATAGAAATGTCTTTTTTTCTTATTTACACCCTATTTATCCAGATTGAAAATTGAAATTCTATAACATAATTCATTATTAAATATTCATAGGACTCTCAATCCTATTTCAAAATGTGAATGAATGAGTGTGTAAAGCGGAAATGGAGTCTAGGGAACCAGGTGTTATTTTCAAAAAAAAAGAACGTTTTTCATCCTCAATCGACCCCAGAGTGAAAACACTGAAACCTTATTCTGCAAGTCACCACCAATCACATTTCAAAAGATGAGGATCATTAATTCCCTTGGTGTCATATTTTCATAAATATATAAATAGGGGAAAGAAAGAGTGATAGAAACTCAAATTTTTCTCTTCAAGAAAAGTCTTGACGTGACTCGCAGGAATCATCATCATCAGAGGAGGAAAACGATCAAAATGAGGAGGAGCAGAAAAATGAAGAGGTATGCTGCCACACCCCCCTCACTTACTCATCAGGTTCTTGACCACTTTTCTGATCCAAGGTTATTTTTGAAGGACATCTCTGTAGAGCAGTAACTCCTTGTAGTATCAGTCAGACTGCATATTTTATTTGATCATTTGTGTTTTCAGAACAGTTCCAAAGAGCAAGAAAATACAGCTCCAACCAACAAACGCCCTGCAGAGCCGTTAGATCCACCACCTGCAAAGAAATCCAAACTTGGAAAAAAGGCGAGAGCTGGCAAAGTGTAAAAAACTACTTATCTTTTTTAGCAGACATTGTTAATAGTAAGATTTGTTAAGGTTTATTTGTTAGGTAGATAGGTGCCAAATATTTTACACATATGATATGTATCTGTATAAATATTTACAATTAAATACTTTTAAATTATTTGAAATTTTGCTTTATTTTTACAAATGTTGGAATTCTATTTAATTTTTTCTTAAAGTGACAATACAACGCATCTCTTCGAAAACAGACTTTTCAAAATTTTCCTACAGGATTTGGAATTTTTTTTTCATACTCATAAATGTATACACTTTCAGAAAATTAAAAATTTCATAAGTAAATAATTCTAATTATTTCATTAAAATTAACAAGATTGATATGGTCCATAAATTTATACATCGCAACGTGTTCGAGGTTGCACATTCCATCTATACACGCATGCGTATAATTTTCATAAACAAAACAGCATGGTAAGAAAGGGAAGCCCGGTAGACCTGCTAAATTGACAAAGTCGACCAAAACGAAAAACAAAACCAAAAATAGGGCTTGAAATTTTAAAAAAGCAACTTTCCTGACAAAAATTTAGTTGGCAGATTAATATAATCATTGGATGAAGAAGAAACGGGATCTCAGCGACATTCACGTGGGGCTCGCGAAAGTTCTACCATACAGGTTTGTTGATACATGCTATCGTTTCTCGTATCTCCATGGCTTTCAAAGAAAAATCAAAGTACTGAAAGTACTGGGAAGCGCTAAGCATATTGATTTGAAATTCATCAGAATTATTTTGAATTTAAATTTCCTGTTCTATTGAAGTTTAAGCAATATGTTGACAGTGCGATAGCGCTAGGGCGAGCACAGTTATTTGGGACATAATCAAATATGTGAGTCCTGAAAACTTTCCGTTGGATTATGAAATTCAACATGGTCTCATGCCTTTTTATTTTAGGCATTTTACATATTCTTCTTCTGTCAAAAGATCTATCAAATTCATATACATAAAATTTCAAGAAAGTATTTCTCCGTGGAAATATTTTCTTTTCCCCATCGCCTTGTAGGAATCTATTAGAGGTAATATTTGCGTATAAATTGCAATTTATTGGAAGGGAGATGGTAATCGGGGTTTCCGACGAAATTTAGAGTCTAGATGTAGCTCTACATTTGCTTGAAAATGTATATTTTGAAATAAATTTGAATACTTGAAAATGTCGCTAAAATTCCTCTCATTTGTGTTCAACACTGAAAGCTAAAATCTTCCGCCTTTACGAGTGTTTCAAATTAAAGATTGACATTATGTTTGTAACATCGTCCTGTGACAAAACTCCATGTAGACAAAATGAACATCCGTAGAATTAAAACGCCCCTTTTGCCAGAGATGCATTTAATAGGTAAATATACATTTGAGTATAAATATATTATAATTATTTACCGGGTATCTTTCGATGCTATCCTTTAATCTGATTTTCAAATCCATGATTTATGGCGTATTTGCAGTAACATTTGTGTTGATATCACAATATGTTTTAATCATTTGTAAATATTACTTTTTTACAATAAAAAAAATTACTATTTTCTTCTTTGGAATAAAAAAAACATTAACCCCCCTAAAGCTTTTTTTTTTTACTATTGTTGAAATAATTTAAAAATGCTTCAATATTTTTACAGACGCTTGATGCCTTACACCACTCTTTACTTGTGTTTGTATGATCTTCAGTACCATGCAAAACATGCTAGGAGGAAAATTATATCTACAGCATTGTTGTGCTAGTTGAAAAGGAATACTGAAAATAATTGCTCATAATTTTTCTGCTATATGAATGAGAAATAATTCAAGAGACCAAGAAAGAAAATACATGTACAGTTATTTATCTCAAGTATTAATAAATTATTAGAATTACTATTATTAGAAATGCGCGTAAAACAGCATTGCACTAAAGTAGCATAAAGAGACTCGGGGATTTCCAGTTGCACATTTTTAGAATAACAAGTGGAGTTATCTAACTTGCTTATAGTGGCGCTGGATCGGGAACGGAAGTAGATTTACGCTGACAGAAAGCGCTTTGCGCTGCGCTTAGCGCTTAAAAATCAGTGTAAACTCAACACAAGGTTAGCTTTTTTAAAAAAGCTGAGAGTCAGCCACTGGAATACAGAAAGTTTCTTTCTTGTTTTGTAATGGTGTATGATTTGATCTATCTAAACAGCTTTCGTTTTTAATGATCGTTGAAAATGCGTAGGATCTGCCCCCCCCCCCCCGGGGGAGTTTGAGGTCAGGGTAGGGGCCCACGCCCAAAACATTGTTTGATTTATCAAATATTATTTGGGCCCTAGTTATTAGAGTATGTCAGGGACATCAATGATAGTTGGAAATGTGTGCAAATTATCCCACGTTTCGAACTATCGTTGATGCCTTGGCATACTCTGCTAACTAGGCTGATTTGAAATATGGAGAAGACGAACATTATTCAATTTCAAAAGTCCATTCAACCAATACAAATCAGGAGCAGAGCGAACACGGACCTCTAAGAGGGTAGATCAGGTGCCATGGAAGAGTAAGCGTATGGCAAAATGCCATAGCATGATTGAAGATCATAGCAAAAGATTTTTTCTTCACATGTAGGATTTCAAAAATAAATTTGATGAGACTTTCCACAAATGTCTGTTTTGTATATCTCCACTGTGATAACATGTGAAAAATATACAACATTTTAATTACTTTCTGATTTCTAAACCGGTTTCTAATTGTTTTGTTTTTTTTTAAATCTGAAACAATAAAAGTGTGATTTTGGCATTTATAAGTTTTTTTTCCTAAAGGATTATATAAGAAATGCCATCCTCTGGTATCTTGCACAAATCTTAATTTTTGTCAGTAAACATGTTAGAGTAGTAATTCTTCAATGACAAAATCTTTGGAAAAAATATATATTATTGAGGGACGTCTCGTCTGTCCTTAAAGTAATAAACACAGACCAGATTAGAAAGGGACATGGTATCCATCGGAATCCAGACAGGGATGAAATTTCAACAAACCGACAAATCACATTACAACACACATTGCAGTGTTCTTCAAGATTGAATATATTTGGCAACACCTGATCAGTGGCTTTGCCTACTACTAGTATTACGTTTGCTTTTTCACCAGGGAACATTTTGTGTTTAAGTATAGTTATTTTTTCTGCACCGTAGTTGAGCTATTTAAAAGACAGTGTGCATTATTGCACCAGACAAAAGGTATTATGTATAGATAAAATCATTACGAGGTAAATTTTAAACCGAAGCAAAGTAGAAAATGGCGGAGGGTAGAGAGTTCCATTCAGTCTACGTAGAGCAGGTAAGATAAATTGAATCTTAAGATAGGTATCATATTAAATAGCAACGTTCTCTATGAATAAAGCCCAAAGCAAAAACGAAAATCTATGCATTTAAAGGGGGACTATTTTTAACAAAAACTTTTCGAAGAGCAAATTATTGATATTGTTGCCCTTTCCTTGAATTGATAGAACCAGCGTTTCTTCCAGAAAATTTTGTATATACGAGGGGCGTTCAATAAATAATGTCATTGGGGCTTGGAAAGAAACAAGAAACGCTTTTCCATGACTTAGTCATAATGATTTATCTAAAATATTCTCTTTTAAGTCAAACACATCTCCGTAACATTTTCATTCAATTTCTAATTGTTTTTCGAACACATTTTTGAGTATGACCCTTCCTATACTGGAATATGGCAGATCCTACGATTTGCTGTACTTGTTTTTTCTTTCTGATAGATGTTTTTCTAAGTTTTGGAAATGAAACAAGTCAAAGATTGAAAGATCTGGCAAATGTTGTTCGTGTGACAAAACATTAATTTTCTGCTTATCCCCAAAACTCCTTTACTCTTCATGGCCTGTGGGTTTGGACGCCGTCAAGAAGACATTTAATGTAGTGTATTCCTCATTCTCTTTCCTTCCTCTCATAAACCTTTCAATTTGTTTGCAAAAAAATTGTTTTCTAGACTCCTCGAATATGAATTTGAACATCAAGACCACTAATATTTAAGCAAATAGCATATAAAACTGTTTTATGCTTTTGCCAGTCTTTGCTCTTCTCAGGCCTTTGCTGTTTTTGTCAAGTGCATCTTATTGTAAATTTGTTTTGAGGTTTTAAAGCAAAATGGATTCAAGTTTCATTATCTTTTAGAATTTCAGACAAACGTGGATAAGGACGATTTTTGATTTTTTTTAAATAATTGTTTGGATATTCCTACACCCTGTCGTTTTCACTCATTTTTCAAAATTTAGTGTGATCTTTGAGTATTAAACTTTTTTACTATAAAAAGTTTCTTTTAAACAGTGTGAACTACCCTCAAAATGATTTTAATCAACTTTGCTATGTGTCTTAAAGTCAATAAAACATAATCAGTGATAATTTGTAGAATTTTCGCAAATTTTCATCGGTTGTTGTAAGTCATTGTTGCCAAGGATGGTACCCATTTTTGATGCCCATTATATATTTTTTGTTTATTGAAATCGACATGTTCACGTGTCTATAAAACAGAAATTGGTTGCTGTAAATTTCACATATTTCAGATAATATATTTTTGAGATATTAACAAGTTTTACAGCTGCTTTAATGAAACGTTTAATTTTACTCTAGTTTACTGATTCATATTTACATCTACTATATATTTTCTCCTTTATTTCTTAAGAAAACCCATTGCGTTAATCACTGCATGAACTACATTAGGCATGTCGCCTGTACAGATTTCTTGATCAGTGGCTGTTCCATCAATGAAACGTATAAAGACGTTCGCATTATTAATACAATAATTAGACATTTTAATCCTTCTTTAAATGATTATTTAAACAGATATAAATATAAACAATAAAATGTCTTTCTTTGTTTGTTATTACTGGAATTAACGGTCGCAGCTATTGCAGAAAAAATTTACATAACCCGCTTATGCGGGTTATGTATTTTTTCTTCAACAGCTGCTCCCGTTAATTCCAGTAATAACAAACAAAGAAAGCATTTTATTGTTTAATTGACCATTCATTCTTAATGCAGTGTCTCGAATAACCCTTGTTTTCCAGCTTCCCACAATGAAATAATGCTATGAAAAGTGGTCAGACAAACTGTTATCAATTCATGAGAGATTCAATAACGAGAGAAAGTCAAGTTTAA